AACTATAGAGTGGGGGAGCGTGGACGGAATTTGACCGTCAATGTCAATGATTGCTGAACTTCAGTGTCTCGAATATCATATCCGTGGCTATTCTGATAAAGTTCAAGTATACACCCAGATTCTGTGAACTATAGAGTGGGGGAGCGTGGACGGAATTTGACCGTCAATATCAACGATTGCTGAACTTCAGTGTCTCGAATATCATATCCGTGGCTATTCCCATACAGTTCAAGTATACACCCAGATTCTGTGAACTATAGAGTGGGGGAGCGTGGACGGAATTTGACCGTCAATATCAACGATTGCTGAACTTCAGTGTCTCGAATATCATATCCGTGGCTATTCTGATAAAGTTCAAGTATACACCCAGATTCTGTGAACTATAGAGTGGGGGAGCGTGGACGGAATTTGACCGTCAATGTCAATGATTGCTGAACTTCGGTGTCTCGAATATCATATCCGTGGCTATTCCCATACAGTTCAAGTATACACCCAGATTCTGTGAACTATAGAGTGGGGGAGCGTGGACGGAATTTGACCGTCAATGTCAATGATTGCTGAACTTCAGTGTCTCGAATATCATATCCGTGGCTATTCTGATAAAGTTCAAGTATACACCCAGATTCTGTGAACTATAGAGTGGGGGAGCGTGGACGGAATTTGACCGTCAATATCAACGATTGCTGAACTTCAGTGTCTCGAATATCATATCCGTGGCTATTCTGATAAAGTTCAAGTATACACCCAGATTCTGTGAACTATAGAGTGGGGGAGCGTGGACGGAATTTGACCGTCAATGTCAATGATTGCTGAACTTCAGTGTCTCGAATATCATATCCGTGGCTATTCTGATAAAGTTCAAGTATACACCCAGATTCTGTGAACTATAGAGTGGGGGAGCGTGGACGGAATTTGACCGTCAATATCAACGATTGCTGAACTTCAGTGTCTCGAATATCATATCCGTGGCTATTCTGATAAAGTTCAAGTATACACCCAGATTCTGTGAACTATAGAGTGGGGGAGCGTGGACGGAATTTGACCGTCAATGTCAATGATTGCTGAACTTCGGTGTCTCGAATATCATATCCGTGGCTATTCTGATAAAGTTCAAGTATACACCCAGATTCTGTGAACTATAGAGTGGGGTAGCGTGGACGGAGTTTGACCGTCAATATCAACGATTGCTGAACTTCAGTGTCTCGAATATCATATCCGTGGCTATTCTGATAAAGTTCAAGTATACACCCAGATTCTGTGAACTATAGAGTGGGGGAGCGTAGACGGAATTTGACCGTCAATATCAACGATTGCTGAACTTCAGTGTCTCGAATATCATATCCGTGGCTATTCTGATAAAGTTCAAGTATACACCCAGATTCTGTGAACTATAGAGTGGGGGAGCGTGGACGGAATTTGACCGTCAATATCAACGATTGCCGAACTTCAGTGTCTCGAATATCATATCCGTGGCTATTCTGATAAAGTTCAAGTATACACCCAGATGACATACCAGCCGTGACACCCAGCGCACATGACAGAAGAGTGACGAGTCGTGAAACACGTTATGCCGTATATAACTGGCATAAAGTTATCCGTGCTAGTAGAGAGAGAAGGACGCCACTAGCGCTAGAAAATATTGGCTTCCAGTAAATGATACTTCTGCGTGAGCATGCTTTCAAGAGTTTTAGCGTTCTCTGCTTGCAATACCTTCCGTAGCGAACGTTCTCGTTTACATATTTTGTACCCCCATCTACAACTTTTGGATTGTGCAAACTTATCAATGTAGTGGTATAACAACGTGAAGACCCCTATAGTATAGGGCCTATACTGGCCAGTTGTACGGCAGGCCTGATTCAGTTCGCCTACGTGCCACGTGCCCCAAAGATCTAGGATGGGAGCGATTTGGCGCTCTCAACTTCCTTGGCATGACGGAAAGTCAACGTAGACTCTACCTAATATGTGGACACTGGTCAATAGTCCTAGAAAGCACGTATAGTGGTCGTACACCGAAGAAAATGGTTAGGGGCAAGCATGAGTAATTTAGGGGCGGTTTGAGTACTTTAGGGGCGGGTTGAGGAATTTAAGGGCGCGGCGAGAAATTTAGGGGCGGGCATGAGCAGGCGCCGGTTTGAACCAGGGACCGACGTCCTGCTCTTAGTCCAGCTCGACTTCAGAGCATTCCAGTAGCTGTATTAAAAGCTCAGGACACTGAACTAAGAGGGGCTATGAAAAGCGGGCCGAAGGCCCGCGATAAAACTCTCAAAACCCTTCCCTACCAGCTTTTCCAGCGTTCGGACCTTTTTTTGCCAGTGTTCGGACCGCTAAGCGACTTTGGTCGACGTGGATGAAAAAACGCACGCCATCGTGATCGATATAGTGACACCAGCGCAGGTTTCTCGAGTGCCTCTTGTGTGCGTCTAGGGAAAGCAGATTGCCTTTACTCTGTTGATGGAGTGATTTCTGTTGTAGACCGTTCTTCTTGTGGTGTGGAGTTGTCCTTCACCAATGTTGATTCACTATAGCAATTCCCCCCATAGAGAATGTTATCTTTCATCGGTCTCGTCTCCGTCGCTAATCTCCTCGCCTTGGTGCTGGGATTCCCTGCCAGGGAACCTTGATGAACACTAGAGGCATCGCTAATGATACTACTACTGTTTGTCCCACCCAGAATGTCACTACTTCGGCAAGGCCTCCGTCGAAGTATCGTCCAGTTAGGTTTGTGTCTTGACACAAAGTGGTTCGAAGGACACCACTGTATTACGCCCGCGCCAAAAGAACTACGTGTTTGTTGGGATCATTTTTGCCAAGCTGATGCTCATTGTCGCGGCATCCATCCTACGAATGCCCAAAGGGTATTGTCAGGAACTTACTGAAAGACTGGCAGAACTATAAAGGCCGCTTATGCTTCCACGATGTGAAACTTCACTGTCACTGTGATAGTCTCAAGTCAACCCCATTCTCTTCGACACCGAAAGATGGTTGGACTGTTGCTGATCTC